GTCTCTCTCTCTCTATCTATCTATCTCCTGTCGTGCCCCTCAGCCTCCTTCCCTTATCCCTATTTCTCCCCCCATCGACCCTTGTCCCTCCCTCCTTAGCCCATTTGCGTCATTTCCTTATTTTCTTCCTCTCTCCGTGGCTTCATTCCAACCCAGGCGAGGTGTTCGATCTTACCTTCCATAAGATGAGGGGTGTGGCTGAAAGACAGGATCCGAAAGGGGTAAGGAGTGAGGAGGAGCAGTGAAATGAATCAGAAGTAAAGGAGAGATGGGGAAGAAAGGAGGCCAAGGGAGTGGGAGGAAAGAGGATATGACAGCAAATGACAAAACAAGACTAGAGAACAGAAAGAGGACAAAGGAGAACATTTTAGAGAAGAACATTTACGAGTCTGCGTCGCTGGCGCGTTTCGTTCTCCGGATGTTTGGGTCTTGACTGCGCGGTGAACACAGCACCCTCTAGATCACGAGGTCTCCCTTATCTTATCATATCTCATCTTTTCTTGTCTTATCTATCTTATCTTATTTTATCTTACCGTATCTTATCTAATCTTGTCTTATCTTATCTTATCTTGTCTTATCGATCTTATCGATCTTATCTCGCCTTATCTCGTCTTATCTTATCTTATCTTATCTTATCTTATTGTATCTTACCTTGTCGTATCGTATCATCTCTTATTTTATATTATCCTATCTTATCTTATCTTATTTTGTCTTACCTTGTCTTTTCGCGTCTGATCTTATCTTATCTTATCTTATCTTATCCTATCGTATCGTATCTTATACTATTTTATCTTATCTTATCTTATCGCGTCTCATTGTATCTTATCTTATCGTGTCATATCGTATCTTATTTTATCTATTTTCTAGGTAACAGTTCGTCATATCAGAGATTCTCAGACCTTGGTGACGCTTACCTTAGGATGCAACACATCCAGTCGGACCTGTAGAGTACCCACCAGGGAGAGGTTAGTTGTGGTTTTCTTTGATTTGTTGGTGTTTTTGTTTGTCTTTTTGTTGTTGTTTGTTTGGGGGGGGGGGTTGGGGGGAGTGTACGTATTCGTGACCCAAAGAGGTTAGTTTTGTTTTTGTCTCGTTATGTTCTGGTTTCAGTATGTGTATATTATGTGAGCATGTACGAGTGTGCACGTGTGATAGTGTGAGCAAAATAGGCAGTAAGAGGGACGGGACAGACAGACAGACAGACAGACAGACAGACAGACAGACAGACAGACAGACAGACAGACAGACAGACAGACAGACAGATATAGCAAGAGATAGTGGAGAGAATTACACAGAT